CCTAAAAAAAGAGAAGAACGAGCCTGACCACTGTGAAGCTGGAGTGCTGAAAAAGGAGAACTTCTGTTTCTAACTGTAGTCCTTCAAATTCTCATTAATCACTCCCTCATTTTCTCCCTAATTTGCTTTTTATCATCCCAGCCATAGAGACCCAACTGACTTTTCCCTATTTTCTTCTCCATGCCCTCAGAACCTACTTACCACTGCACGTGAGTCTTGTGTATACCATGGAGATATCTTCAGCGATTTCTGAATGAGTTTCTTGGTGTATAGTATGTTACTTTTATTGGTTTTTTTCCTTTGAATTGCCATATTTCTTGTGATATTATGCACAGAAAAACTCTTTTTTTTTTTTTTTTTGTGAGAACATCCTGCCATAACTGAAGCTACAAATGTAGGAAAATGAATCACTGGAATCCCAAATCTAATAAGAGAGTATTTGGAGAACTAATACTTCTCCTGTGGCAGTGTTTTTCATAGAGTGAGGTAAAACTGTCACCTAGTGGTCATAATAGTTGTTCCTGAATTACCATTTTCATTTGGATATAGCCAGAATGTTTCTTATCCCCAGGACTTATCACATGAAAATATTAAGATAAAAAATATATATATATGAAAGGCTTTTAGGTGAAGGGAAAAACCCTGGAATCTTTGGTAAAAAATAAATGAATTTATAACTTTGTGCAGAGGAGCTGTGAAATCCCATTTTCCTCTCTCTCCCACAGTTTATCACAGTGACATATCACTTTCTGCTTTACTGAACAGCTGTGGGAGGCTGAAGATCAAGATAACTGAAACTAAAATAGGGCAACAAAAGAACCTCTCTTATTAGGTATTCTGCTACAGTCATTTTACAAGTCGGTCTCAATTCCAAATTTCCCCTTAAAAAAAGCAGTAACACTTCACCCTAACTCAGCCTAGAAGGTCAAGTTCTGTTACAGTATCAGTGCAATGCTACTGTTTTCAGTTGCACAAGCACAGATTGTGGAGGAGAATAGCTTTCAGCCTAAAGAAGTAGGTCTTCTCTTGTGCATTGACTTCAGCAAGTTGTAGTAAACCTGCAGGGATACATCAAGAAAAAGCAGGCACCATGAGTGGGCCTCTAGATCTGTGATTACACACCTCTTTATAAAAAAGCTATTCTGCAACAATCATATTGATTCCGTCAGAAGAGAGCTACGTGCATGCTAATGTACTAGTGCTTTGTGGGTGGCTGATTAGTAGAGGTGATACAAACACTGAGACAATAATGACTGGAGTTCAGCAAATAAATGTGAAAAACAGCAGGACAGGTACACGGTGTAATAAGAATATGCTCTTACAAAGAGGGAAACAGGCAGAGCAAAGTGCAGTGTTATGAGTTTGATGACTCAGTGGGGTATCTGTGATACTGTGGACAGAAGAGGGTGTGATTCCCAGATTTTCGTATGGAGAGATTCATGTGTACTCATCAGTGAGGGAACTTTTATGAAGCAATATCTCCTGGAGCAAATTGGCTAATATAATTCATAATACTTAGCAAAAAAATTTCCTGTCTAGCTCGGTTTGCAGATTCTGTTCATTATTTGTATTTCCTCAAGGTGTTGGACCCCTAGTTTTCTATCAGGATCCACTTATTCAAGGTACTTGAAAACTCAGAGCTTCAAGATAGCATCTGCCATGTAATGCCTAAAGTTTTAAGTATATATTGAAGTGCAATGCTGACAGAGGCAGACTATGGGAACCATGACGAAATTACAAGGCAGTCAGATCTGTGTAACCAACAATAATTTCATCATGTCCACACTCTTAAGAATGTAATTATTATTGAACAAGTGTCATTGAAGAAGTTAAGCAAAGACATTGAAAAAAAATTATGAGGTACCTTTCTGGATGTTTGTGCAGTTTCCTGACTGAGGACAGTAGCATCTAAAGTAAATGTCAAAAAGCATGAGGTGAATTATTTTTAAACTTAACACATGTTTAAATACAGCTGTCATCTTTAGCCCAACAGAGAGAAAAGATTTCTCAACAGTGAATGCAAGGGAGAGCAGGTTAGGCTGTGAAAGCCTTTTTTATATATTCATTAGTGAAATATGTTTAGCAGAGAAAATTCTTTGTTTAATATTTTCTGTGAATAGGTTTTGATCTGACTGCATAGATTCCGTGTAAATGTATTTTTTGAATTTCCTTTCTAGTTATGACTAAATGCACTGCACAGTTTTCTTTCCCTCCCAGTTAAATATGAATCAGTTTTTACTCTGCTTATACAGATTTCAGATTTTTTAAAAATTTTTTTAATAAATTTGTTTTTTTTTTTTAAAAATAATTTAGCATTCTCTTGCCAATACACTCATTCTTCAGATTTGTGTGAAGAAATCCCTGGGATATCTAGAGGCAGGTAGCTTTGTCAATGCTCCTGAGAAAGTCATACAGCTCTAATGTGAAAACTTAAATTTCTATAGCCAATAGGATGAAAACAGAGGATACTGAAGTAATTTTAATTCATAACTGGACGTAAGCTGGGCAGAACTGCAGAGCAGTCACACACTGAACCAAAAGGTCTATGATGGACACAGGATTACAAACTAGACTGTAAGTAATAAACCACAAATAAGAATAGGTGATGTTGGCAGGATAATGTCGTTGTAAATCCTGAAACTTGTTTGGATGCAGAGATAGGGTAATACCTGAAACACCACTTTTAATGGATTCTATTACTAGGAAAGTTGTTTGAAGGAGGTAAGTGATGATATAATAACCTTTCTGCTAATATTTACAGTGTAACCAAATCATACATCTCACTGTGATGGGGGATGAAGGGCTTGACTTTGTTCCCATGAAATAATTTGCAGTTAGAGATGCCCAAGTATTGATGCATATACAGAAGCTATGCTCAGTCTCAGGATTTGTAATGCATCCACTTTTTAGTACTCCAGTGTCATCCTAAGGATTAGGTGAGCAGCTGCTCTGTGGGTGCACAACATCTCCATGTGAGCTCAGTGCTTGGGACTGTCTATAGTCATAAGATAACTATATTTATTAACTGCCTGACTAGAGCAGTTGTAAACTGTCAAGAGACTGGAATGTGTGTGTCAGGGTAAAATATAGCAGCAAAGGTGGGAGATGCAAATTTACCAAAATTAAATGTTGCAGCAAGAGATAGCATTGGTAAATGTGGTTAAAGCCAAACCCCTTCTTTACGGGATGAGCTGAAAAGTTGCTGACTTTCTTCCTGTGACTTTGCAACATCCTGGGGAGTTTAGAGGGCAGGCTTGCCTGACTGCTAAGAAACAGTCAACACAGCACTTTTGTGTGGAGGATGTCTGCAGCACAATACCAGCACAGTGCAAAGAGGAGTAGCGAGTGCCCTGATAGAGAAAGAGGAGTGCAGGAAGGGACTTTCTGCTTTATACCTTCTGTGCTGCTGAGTACAAAGAGTGTATTTGTATACGTGTGTATACATAAGACTCTTAACTCACATTATTTATCACAATCCCAAAGTAAAATCTTTTTTTCTGCCCATAGCAGGTCTGAATGGGGGCAAAGAAAATAATCAACCAGTTAGCTACTTAGCAACGTCCAGGTCTGGAACTTACATGATTAAGCCCAGTGAAATTGCCCTGTAAAGGATCATAAAACCCTACAGCAAGACAGCAGGTTAGCAGGTAATATACTTCTGTAAACATAATATATCATATATAAACTGGCAATAATCTACCTTCAAGAGCTGATTTGTCATAGCACGAACCCCATTTATGGACACTGAACAACATAAGCCACTTTCCAGTCCATGGAAAAAAGTCTTAAGAACTGATGGCACTCTGTTTCGGGGTGGGAAGAAAGATCACTGGACAGTGTTGTACCTATTTTACGTGGGGAAATTCAGAGTATTATGGCTGAGTTGACTGGCTGTCTTCCTTAGTAAGTCACTAGACACTGAGGTTCCTTGAAAACTTGTTTGTAGCTGCTTGATATTCAGCTTTGATCCCTTGCACTCTAAAATGACATGCAGAAATGGAGAAAAGCAATACTTGCATTCAGAGAGCACCTGGACAAAAGTGGTTGTTTCATAGCTGCTAGAGAGAGAATAAATAACCAGCTGTACTGATTTACATGAGTAACATCAGTTTACGTTTAGGAACTGCAATTAATTTAGAAGCCTTAGTGTTTTCTAAGCACTATGTCATGGTCCTTGGGAGCCTAGATCAAAAGAAATGTGTGGCAAAGACATTTCTATGATCTAAAGGAAAAATCTAGTTCTTCTGATGCTACAATCAGACCAAGTACCCAGTCAGTCTTCGAAAATACTGAAGTAAGAGGTAGTAAAGAGAGATTTACAAATGCATTCCTTTACTCTTACTGTAAAGTCTGTTCATATTTTAGCTGGAAAGGTATCAGTCCAAAAAGTCTGAGAACTGCTATTATATAGAGGATAATTTATTTGACTTATTCCCAAAGGATATTTTGGGAAGGTGAGAAGAAGTCACCTCAATATGAGATGCATTAAGATATGTAAGCTAATTTACATACAAAAAAGTGAACTTGCAAGTACATTTAAAAGAATATCAATAAAACATCTAGACATAAGAACGAAAAAATCTTCGGTTGTGGTAGTTAAAATAAGTATGACTAGAATTAGCAAGCATTTTATCCTTCTTGTACATAATTGCACTCTTATAGAAAATATATTTTAACTTGTTTTGTGAAATATTTTATGTTTGTTTCTGATAAAAGTAGCCTATGAGATTTGAGTAACATAATTATTTTACAGTATCTTAATGCTAATACTCTTAAGAAAGAGAGAAATGCCATATCTTCGGAGTATCTTATGAAAAAGTAATCATAACAATTATCTGAAATACAGAATTAACATGGAATCATGGAATCATAGAATGGTTTGCATTAGAAGAGACCTTCAGGATCATCTAGTTTCAACCCCTCTACCAAGGGCAGGGACACCTTCCACTAGATTAGGTTGCTCAAAGTCCCGTCCAGTCTGGCCTTGAACACTCCCATGGATGGGGTTATCCACAACTTCTCTGGGCAGCCTGTTCCAGTGTCTCACCACCCTCACAGTAAAGAATTTTCTCCTAATATCTAATCTAAACCTAGTCTTTTTTAGTTTGAAGGCATTCCCCTTTGTCCTGTCACTACATACCCTTGTAGAAAACCCCTCCCCATTTTCCTTGTAGACTCCCTTCAGGTACTGGAAGGTCATAATTAGGTCACCGCTAAGCCTTCTCTTTTCCAGGCTGAACAATCCCAATTCTCTCAAGCTTTCCTCATACGACAGGTTCTCCATCCCTCTAACCACCTTTGTGGCTCTCGTCTGGACCTGCTCCAACATGTCCATGTCTTTCTTGTGTTAGAGACACCAGAGCTGGAAGCAGTACTTCAGATAGGGTCTCACAGAGCAGAGCAGAATGGCAGAACCTCATTCCATCTGCCGGCCACGATGCTTTTGAAGCAGCCCAGGACACATTTGGCTTTCTGGGCTGTGAGCACACATTGCCGGGTCAGGTCCAGCCTCTCATCCACCATCACACCCCAGTCCTTCTCAGCAGGGCTGCTCTTGATCTGTTCATCCCCTAGCCTGGATTGATACCATGGGTTGCCCCAACCCATTTGCAGCACCTTGCACTTGGTCTTGTGAAATTCTCATTGGCCCACTTCTCCAGCTTGTCCAGGTTCCTCTGGATGGACATATATCCTATAATGGTATCCTATAGTCCTATAGGACTATATCCTATAATAGTATCCTGAGTTATTGAATATGAAACTAACAAGTAAATTAATCATGTTAGCGAAGACTCTTTCTTAGTGAATGATCTTCTAAATTTATCACTCATTTCCATTTTCAGAACTGGGTCTTCCCTACCAATATCTTCTGCTATTTGAGGTATTCAGTGATGATTGGTACTTGGGTCACTATGTTAGTAAAGTGTGAATTAGAAAAAGGTGGCTGCTGATTGAAGAGTGTTTCATTTTAGTTCAGAAATAACACTCCTCTGGTCTCCCAAATGTGTGCATCATAGTGTCAGGTGCATCAAAGTTACATTTAGAAGTGACTGACAAAACTAGAACCTTCAGGGCAAGAACACTAAAGGGAACACTGGTCACAACATCTATTCCAGGAAAAACTGTGTTATGGGGTCAGTCCATTTTTGCAAGGAATATCACTGTTTCCCTTCCCAAAGAAGAAGGCAAAACAGGGGGGAAAAAATAGACCTATAAAGACTCATCGGCAAGCACAGGTGTCTGAACAGACCTAGTGAGCTATGCTGCCCCAAAATCTGAAGAAATCCTCTGAGAAGTTTCTCTATATAACCAGTCTTTTATAAAGTATGTCTTTCCTTTTCCAGTGTTGTTGTATTGTTCATGTTTCGGGCCACAGTTCTTGTGGAAGATTCTGCCCCACTGTCAGATCAGACACTGAGTTGTAAATTACGTTTTCCTTCTGCACGTAAGTAGTATAAGGTTCCACTTCCATCGTGTCATTCTAGCAAAACAAAACCAAAAACTGTGAATGCAAGGAGTAGTTTAGTTTGGCAAAACTCAGCAAGCCTTTGATATCAACGGACGAAAATAACTGGAAAGTAGTACTCTTGTTTTTATTCTTCTTCAACTCAAGAAAAAGACTCTTCTATTGCTATTTCTATCAAAGAATATGTGTTGCTTTTTCTGGCAAAGATTTGGAGGGTAAAGCTGACATATTGGTTCACTTGCCTCCTTTTCCTTCCCTTCTACACCACTTATTTTTTTTGCCTGAAAAAAAAAGTTGTGTTAAGGTCTAATTCTCTAGAAAGAGCAAGTAATATGCTAAAGTCTTGACTGCAATTCATTCCTCCATCAGTATACAATTTTAGTCTACAGACATGCTAATAAAAGTTACGTGATGTGACGGCAAGAACACTGGTACTTAAACCATTATTTTGCTTTAACACAACTGCATCTGTCAGCAACAACTTGGAGGTAGGGCAGCAGAACAGCAGGAATAGTAATAACTAGAATTGGCTAAGTCTTTTCAGAGGCTGAAGCAACTTTTTAAGTTGATGACAGAATTTGAGCCTAGCATCTACTTTAGGTGCACAGATACAATATAGTTGTAGCACATCTTGTCTGCACAGAGATGCTTTTATTTGGATTTGGCAGCAGAGAATAGAGAGACATCACTGATGAGTGAATTGCTCAGCTACACGGGAAGCTTATAACAGCATAGGGAATTCAATAATATCTCCCAGTTTGCAGCTCAGCATTCCTTCCATTGTTTAATAAGATGTTTTGTCTTGAGTCTGGTTGGTTCATTGGTTGTGGATTGACCATACTAGATAAAGAGGGGCCTTCAAAACTCACACATTATCATTCTGGACATGAAGAGGGACATTCCTTTTCTCCTTCTGTCTGTTAATTTGGTTGTTTAATCTTCTTGTTTACTAATAGTTTTCTTAATATTCCCCAACCCATGTTATTGCCTCCCTTCTTCATTACTGCTTGGACAGGAGTTGTGGTTGGTGTGTCTGATATAATCAGGAAGATGTGGTGGGCATCACTCCTTGCTAAGATAAAGAAGGGCAGTAGCTGAGTGTTTGCTGTTGGAACATGCCTCTAGTGCTCCAAGTCAAAATTACGGTAAAATTAAGCTTTGTTCTGTCCTATAAACAGCTAAGAACAAACATATAGGACACAATAATACCTGCTTAAAGGACAGAGTGAAAATCTATTGTTTTCTCTTTACTGATTATGTTTTCAGGACTACAGAAGATCCCTGATTTGGTGATGTCTAACCTGCATAATTCTCCTTACCTGTATAGGATCAGTTTCAGGAGGCATGGTTTTGTGGCACAGTCTGTGAAAAAGAAAGCAAGTGTTAAAGAAATTCCTTCCTTAGTCCTATGTTTGTCTGGATCACAGCTTGGTTTCTTTGGTCAGAAGCATATGAAAAGTTTCTTTTTCTTGTCTTCAGGAGTAAAGCCATCTCATGTCTCTCTCTCCCTGACTTTAGATCCTGAAATTGTAGCATCCTGACTTTCTCATTTAGGATGCTTTCTTAGCATTATTCAGGGAAGATGTGTGCAATGCACAGTGTCTGCAGTATAGAAATATTTGATGAAGTTACTTCAGTTATCCATGGCAGCACAGACTGACAGAATCATATGATTTCAAGACACAAAGAGTACTTTAAAATTTATTCTAGCACTACACGATTTTTCCTTAGCACCCTATCATACATACCTATTACTGTGGAGCTTGATGTAGTAAATGACAGCCATGAAGGTCATAATGCTCAGAAGACAAAGGGTAATGGAGACATACAGGATAGAGTTCTTTTTGTCTAAACACAAAGAGTTAGTTTGAGTTATATCTTCCTACTACTCATTTTCTGTATTGTTTCAGTATAAGATTAAAGTTGCTTTAGCACATACACACAGTTTCAGCATGCTTGTAAGAGAAATATAATGTCCTTCAGCAGAAGGCAAAGTCAGCAATGAAACACAAATGGAGTCTGTGTCAGAGACAAAAGCAGATCCCACAAATCCCACAGTGGACACTCATGATATTTTTTCACTAAGCCACACCTGAGCCCCTCTCAAGGACTCAGTATTTCTCAGCACTGCAACTCGTGCATAGTTCTCAAAAGCAACAAAAAAAGCAAAAACCAGAAACCAGAGGTCAGTGTCAGATATTCACAATCCAAAACAAAGTGATTTACTTGTTTCTGCTGGCCACACTAGAGTTGGTTCTGCTTCTCTCTCTTACCATGACATTTAAATTTGCATCTGAAAAAACCTTGCTGATGTTCCACTTCCAGTTGGTTCTGCTTCTCTCTCTTACCATGACATTTAAATTTGCATCTGAAAAAACCTTGCTGATGTTCCACTTCCAGTTGGTTATGACTGCTTTGTCTCTGTTCCCAACAACATTTTCACTACCAAAAAATGCTATGACACTTATGTGCATCCCTCTTAGGGAAGAAACTCTCAGGAAACAGTGTCTAGAACACAAACGAGTGGTGATGTTTCTGGTCAAAGGCAGTTGGGGATGGTACTCTTTTCCTTATAGGACTTCACTGAAGCTTTCTATACCTTTTGTAGACTTTCCTTCCTAGAAGTAATGAGAGTTGAACAAGCTGAACAGGCTTTTGAACAGCAAATGCACAAAGGGAAGCTTACCTGAGGGACAACAGGCTATGGACTCACTCCAGCTCCCAGCTGGGTGGAACACCATGCAGGTTGTGTCAGTCACGTTGGTGTCACATGCTGTCAACCTGCTGAGAACAGTCACTGTCCCGTTGTCGTGGCTTTCTTCCTCAAGGGAGGAGTTGCTCTCTAGGAGCCACGAGACCTGAGCAGGCGGCTTCCCTGCCGCTGCCTCGCACACGGGCTTCCCGTGCTCATCACAGAAGAGGCTCAGCCTTGGGGGCACTGCAAAACACCAGGAAGGGGAGAAGCATGGAGTTAGTTTCCTGCAGCTGGGACAGGATGTTCTTGTTCTCTACCCAAAATGAAAGCAGTGAAAACAGGAGAATGAGGTTGGAGGTGTCATTCCATGACAACAACATGGATCCAACTCACAAGAGACAAAGATCTTGTCTCTTTTTTCCTTTTGGACAACTTTCCCACATTCAGGTGAGCCTTACCACAGCCATTCTCCACATCCTCTGTTAGGATATGGGAAATTACTTCACAGCTGTTGTTTCTAACTACACAGTGGAAAACATGACCACAGAAGGGAGCAGAGTTTTGGGAAATAAGGAGGAGGGAGACCCAGAGACATTACCAATGATATGCATGGCAGTTTATCCAACAAGAATCACGGCTTTGAAGGGACTTTAAAGATCATCTAGTTCCAATGCCCTTGCCATGGTCAGGGACACCTTCCACTAGACCAGGTTGCTCAGAGTCCCATCCAGCCTGGCCTTGAACTTCCAGAGATGGAGCATCTACAGATTTCCTGGGCAGTCTGTTTCAGTGACTCACCACCCTCTCAGTATAGAACTTCTTACTAATATCTAATTTAAAGCTACCCTCTTTGATTAAAAAAAAAAAAAAAGCTCCATTTTTTACTCCATGTTTCCCCAGTGCCTCAGGAGAGCTTTGTATGTCCAGGCCCAGACATGGTCCTTTGGAGAACTGTAAACAGGGAAGGAGTTCCTTACCCAGCACAGTCAGGTGGTATGTCCTGTGGAAATTCCCTTCTGGTGTTACAAGTTCACAGATGTAATTTCCCTCCTGGGCTATCCCCACTTGCTTTATCTCAAGCACAGGACCAAGATCTGGTCTGAATTTCCAGTTCATGCTGTCACTGCAGTTTGTTCTGTCTGTTGTATTCGTATCAGCCCTGTAGCCCAAGTTGCAGGGGCCTCCAACCTTGGGATATATTTTCCATGTTAGCATATTTATATTTGGTTTGAGAGGGCAGGTGAGCACTGAGCTGTCACCTACAGTCACTGACACTTCGTTGTTCCCTGAAGGAGAGAAAGAAGGAGAAGAACATGTGAGATGGTGCTTGGGGGTGTCACTCATAGTACTGAAGTTGAGGTCAGTGCTTCACAGGGAAATGTCTGCAATGGTACATGCCAGCATGAACCGTGTCTGTGCCCATCTGCAAATTGTCTGTCATCTCATACTAGAGCTGTGGATTATGGAGCCAGTGGCCTGTCACAGCCTACCCTCCGAATACCATCAACAAATTTTCCACTGGGGTTCCTCTTAGTGGATAAGACTGGATATTGAAGGAGGACCCTAATCCTTCCCATTGCCTTGGACACTTCGTCATCTGAAATCTGCCTCTATTGGCAAATTCTTCAGATTTGCAACTCCTTTGGGTTGCTCGCAGGGCGGTTGCCGCTAACAGAAAATGGAAAAAATAGAAATATGACTATTGCATTTGGCCACATGATAATGACTTTTCTCTGGAACTGTTGTGACCAACAGAGTAAACAGCTTTTACTTCTGCATTCATACAAAATCCAAAACTGTGGGCAAAGGCATTTTCTACACCTCTTAGACATGAAAAAAAAGCACAAATAATAGTGGTGGAGCTTTGTGCAGAGGAAGGATTTTGTCTTGTGTCTCAGGGATGTCTTTTCATCTTCGGAATCTTTGTGAACATACGCATTTACACTGAGTGTACATAATGTGTACATATGCATTCACACTGTGGCTGTACTGTTTTTACTGCAGCAGTTCCCATACAACATGAATGTAAGTCCTACCCATCTTTGTTGTGTGCCAGGCACACAACTATGAAGGTGTAAAATGTGCCCATATCCTTGTGTCTCTTGCTTGATAGGCTGAGATAACAGAGGAACCTTATTCAGTTGATGTGTTAACATGTGTTGACAGTGAGTATGACTTGTTCTTGAATTCTGTTTTGCTTTTGCTGGGAAACACTCTTTTTTTTTTTCTTTCTAGACACTGAGTCTTCTTTTACATTTTAAAAGATGACTATTGCTGGGAGACAGGAAATACTTCTTTTCTGGATCCATGAACTATGCATTTGAAGCCACCAGATGAAAAGTTTGGACCTAGTCCTCTCATTCTTTTTGGTAGTTATCACACTGGTTATTTAGGGGTGGAGAGCCAGATCACTATTATGGCTCCTCTGTGTATTGCGTTTGTTCAAGACAAGTCGCACCTCAGGATTGCTTTTTATTTTCTTATGGGTCCCTGAATTTCTTTTTAGCCAAGAAACTAATTTGCCTGGAATTTCTTCTTCCATAAGCTTTCAGGATGGATTATTTTTTTCACATATTGAGCATAAGTCATGCTTGCATTCTTTGTATTGACCAGATTTGGGACACCTCATCTGCCTGTGTCTTCAGCTGACATATCCAAGGGTCAGGTTTCTAGCCCAAGATTCATTTTGCTATTTCCTTGACCATTGAAGCCTCTCAACATGATGCCACCTTTAGGACAGTTGGTTCTTTTGCTTTGTTTCAATTACTCACATTGGGACCATTTCCTTTAAGAAAGTATTTTGTGATGGGTTTTGTTTGCAGGTAAGGTACCTGTGGGTGAGCATTCCAGGATGAGAGGAAAGTTACCTGTAACTGTTCTTCAAGATGAGTTGCTTGTATGTGCATTACTGTTGCCTACACTTTCACAGGCAACCCACCCTCCTTTGTGAGGCACTTGTGAGACAGAGAAAACAAAAGTATGAGGCGCAGGTTGTAAACCAGTGTGAAGAGGAGGTGAAGGAATGGGACTTTTGTGTCCTTGGGCTCCTGCTGAAATTAAAACAAGCAACCCCCAAAATTCACAATGTATGTACATGTTTAAATAACCACCTAAAGAAGACTTGTTGCCAGTAAATAATCTTTCTTTTTCAAAATCTCCTAGGTGCAACAGTTAATGAGTTAATAGGAATAATACCCACAGCTGTCATCTAAGAAGCCTCCATTTACCATCTCACTCACTTCCTCCTTTAATAGGTCACTGTTAACCTTTGGGACCACAAACCATTGATGTCTCAGTTCTCTGTGTCTCTGGTGGAACCTGAGTTGTTCTTTCCTTGGGCTGAGTAATAGTTTCAGTGGCATTCTGAAAGCTGTGCGTGAGATAAAAATCAGAGTACTACTTTCAAACCATGCATTAATCTGGATGGACAACAGAAGTTAACAAACCTGATTTGTGCTGAAAAATAAGTTTTTCACAAATTAGTCCAAAAATGTTAAACCCCTCCACAAATCTTTCAACAGATATACTAAAGCAGCAATTGAAAATTGAGAAAACTACAGTTGGTTTTACCTTAATAATATTGTCTGAAATCTCATTATCTTCTTGAATCTAGGTGAATGAATCATTCCAGGTCAAACGCATTTGCTTCTGTTTGACTGTGTTCTCGGGAAATGATTTCCAACTTGCAAAATGAAGACAGTTCACTGCATTTTCACTTCTTACATATTCCTTTAAAGGTTTTTGCCCTTTCATTTTGTAGATAAAGTATCCTTTGGGTGAATACGCTTCAACTGTTGACAGTGTATTTTTCTGCTTAATGGCATTTCAAGAGAATGTGAGGTGTGTGTCTTAAACTCAGATGATTTTACCAGGAGTGGAACTGAAGGAAACCTTTTGTCTCATGAGAGTTTCTGGATGAGTTCAATGAATGTCTCTGAAAATTGGAGAACAAAGTGTTTCCTCTCCTAGTTCAACATTGCCAAGAGTCTCAGAGCTCCGAGTCATGCACAGTGTGGCTTACCTCATCTGAAAATGAGTAAGCAAACCTTAACATTCAAACTGCTTGTATGTTGGAGATGGGGGTTTTTTGGATAATGTGTGCAAATGTTGAGCAAGAATGACAGTGTTGTGCAAATTTAAGTGTGTACACTTTTATTTGCATTTTAAAGCAACATCATTTTACTTGTATTTCAACTCAGCATCTCCTAAAGCAACTCATTGTTATGCTCAAGTTCCCCAAGATAACAGCTTGCACACTTCAAGGCTGTAAAGAGGCAGTGAAAGTGGTGCTTTCTGCTGTGCCTTTCTGTTATATTCTCCTCTGAATGAATCAAGTACCATTGACTTCAAATAAGAAGCCACATCAGTCAGCTTAAAATGTGCTGAATCAAGTTTAAGTACAATTTTAAGTTTACAAGAAATTCGTGGAAGGATTATGAAATCCCCTGTATCTTGTTATCAATTCAGAAGGCTTTTGCTAAGGCAAGAGCTTTTCCATAGATGGCAGATTATTTTGTAAAAAATCTTATTAATCCTACCCTTATACACATCCTCCTACTTTTGTAAAGAGGCCTTATAAACATAAAAGTTTAAATTGTTTTGACTTTACTGAACTCTTTCATTGCTAGAGTGCAGCTAAGTGGCATTAACACAAATACGAATTGTGAACTTTCTTCCTTGATTTGCTTCTTTTCTCATACATGCTGCTATAAACATGATCTTTAGACTTCTTTTATGGAAGAAGAATGCATATGCAAGAAGTCCTGAAAAGTTTGATTTATTTATGTTTCTGAAATGACTTTGACAACCTTCTCTTATGGTGGAACAGGGATTGTTTTTATCTCTGTAGAACAGAAATATATTATTAGGAGGAAGTCTTATCTTATATTATGACCCTATTAGCCTGTTAGCATTCTCCCAAGAACTGTCTCAAACTCCTCCTGTCTTAGTTTTAAAGGCAGGGAAAGAAAAAAGAATGTAAGGGAGCAAGGCATAACTGCAGAGTCTGCACCTGTTTTGATCTTCCTCTGGTTCAATGTGGCATGGAAGCATTTTGTGTCAGCAAAGTGCTCTGGATACTCCCTAAACTGAGTCCCAAAAGTGGCATAGCCAGGCTGATAGTTCTGCTGGGCATTTGCTCAGTAGCCCTTCTTGTCATCATGTAGGTAGTTACAGTGCTTCCATTTCTATGGATGCTCACTCATTACCGTGTGGTGCAGAAATCTTCCAGCGTGCTTGCTATTCTCCCAATAAAGCATATGCAAAAAGAGAGCTCAGCTTCATTTTACCACAGAGTGTAGCAATAAGTTCAGATAATTCAAGGTTTTGAACTGTGGTGAGCTAAATTCTTGTCACTCACAAGCAAAATAGGACTGGGCCTGGGTAACACTTGATGGGAAGCTTCCAAACCATGAATAATAATGTCAGCCATTTTTCATAACAGTTTCTGATGAAAAAAGGATTTGCCTTTCTTTCTATTTCAAGATAAAATATAATCTCAGAAAATGTCAAAACTTGCTGGTTTTTACTAGAGTTAGCTTTATTTAAAAGCACTGCAAAATGTATATTCTCAGAAATTAATATGTAAATAGTTATGGAATCCACCAGCACAAAGACAGTTTTTTGAATAGATATAATCCTCATCCCTATCCTGTCCTTCCTGGTCAGTTTAGCATTTCCTCCAGTTTAGAGATGTTGCTAGGACAAGTTGGACTGAAGTTGGACATGTTCTGCTTTCTCTTTCTAGTGACCATCCCAAAAGTCATCTCAGTCTCTTAAAGTATATTTTGTTAGATCAGAAACCAGTATGCTAGCATGTGACAGTTCTGCAGGGAACCCAGAATTGCTAGCCATACTTATGAAAATGAAAGGACTGAAAATAAATCTCCCCTGCTCTCTGTGCCCCCACAGAACAGGTTCTTTCCCTCATTCTTCTCTTGTACTCCATAAGCTTTTGGTGACTTTTCAAGGTGCACATTTTTCGCATGATCTCTTCTGAGCAACTTTTCCATAACTTCCATTACTTCCTGTGGGTCTACTCCAATCCAGCCCTTTGCCAGGATGTCCCCATATGCTTTCTTTGCCCTCCTTATGCTCCTTGCTCCAGCCTGCACTCTTGGATATGTACTCAGCAGCTCTGAGGGAAGACGTAGTCTCTCCTTTCCTCCAAGAATTTCACTAAACCTAAAGGATGTATATCTACTCTGCAGGAAAACTAAACAAACAGAAGTATTTCTTGTGGTTAAACCCCAGCTGGCAACAAAGCCCCTCACAGCCACTGGCTCCC